GTTCAGACCTGTGTATCTTAATAATATCAATTTGGCAGTTATACGGAGAATTCAGAATAGAGTGGAAAGAGAATGGACTAATTAAGAGGGTATTATAATAGTCTAGGCAAGAGGTGATGAAGGCCTGAATGAGGGTGGTACCGATATGGAGAGAAAATGAAACAGATACGAAAGATACTATGGAGGTAAGACAAGATTTAGAAAACAATTACATGAAGAGGTAAGGAAGAAGAGTTGAGAATGACTCTGACATTGTGAACCTGGATAACAAGAAGGATGGATCTACTTGTAGTGATGAAAACAAGTAGAGAATTAGGATTTTGGGGGGAGAACAGAGGGAAGATAATGAGTTCTGCTTTAGATACGTTATGTTTCAGATGCCTTATGTGGCATTTGATTGGAAATATCTAATAAGTAGCTGGTGATATGGGACCAGAGCTCAAGAGAGAAGGGAATTGGACAGACAGATCTGGGAGTTGTCCATATAGATAATTGAACCCATGGGAGCTAATGAGATCAGAGACTGAAGAGAAAGAAGGGAGCCTAGGACGGTGACCTCAGGCAAACCTACACATAGAAGGCAAAGCATAAATGACAAAAAAAGAATAACTGGGAAAAAGTGGTTAGATAGGTAGAAGAACTAGGAGAGATCGCTGTCAGGAAAACCCAGAAAACAGAGGGTATCCAAAAGCACATGGTGGTGGTCAGCACCATTAAATGCTGACAGAGGTTTAAGAATTATAAAGACAGAAAAAAAAAGGTCATTGGATTTTGCAATTAAGAATAGATCATTTAGGTAGGCAGACATTTTCCTATATAATTCTGTCTACTTAGACAAAAACTTTATTTTAATACATGGATTTCTGGTGTTTCTGAAAAATACAAGTGATAGATTCAGATGCAACAAGACCCTGGAAACAGGATTTTAGCATAATTTCATGCAGAAATACATGCTCTTCATCCTTCCTAAATAATTAAAATGGCATTGGTGGCATAACATTAATCATTTAAAGTACAAAATAATTTTGTGCTACATTTATGGAGCACTTTGTTTTTTTCAAAGCACTTTCAGATCCATTATCATATTAAGAAGGCACTGATGCCATAAATACCCAGCACTGGTTCAATCGACATTTGGTTTTGGAAAAGATTTACATGTACATACTTTGTCCAAATATTACTATTTGTTTCATGAAAGTCATGGCTAAGACTTTAGTAGAGTGTAAATTTTAAGCCAGAGAATAAACAGTTGGCTTGAAAAAATACTAAATTGACATGCAAAGCATTTGTTGTTCTGCCAGATACTAAAAATAAAGGTGACTTGTGCCAACATGGAAAACTTGAAGCATTTCAGTTGGTTCCAGAACCTTGGACAATGGAGGTGTCATAATTTTTTCCTGTGTAAGACCTGTCTCCATGTCACCTATTTCTACAACCTTCAATTTATTATTTCTTTAAAAAGGAAAACAAATTCTACAATAAAAATGGCACGTTATTTGTAACATCAGCTTGACACAGAAAGATTTTGGGGCTGTGGAATTTGTATTGTAGAAATTTTATACCACTTTTCTGTACGCATACTATGAAATTTTGAAGCTCTTCATCACTGGGAAACAGTGAGGTTTAAGTCTGGTACTTATTTGGCTCTATGATTTTTCTGAATCTATGTCTTCATCTATCACATGGAAACAAGAGAGTAACACTTGTACTGCCCCATCACAAGGTTTTTTTTTTTTTGAGTATTAAAAAAGACAGCGGATACATAAAACTTTGTAAACAAAAATACACAATTTGTACTAATGTATTATGTATTCACTTTAAATTTATATCACTAAACATTCTTAGTATTTTACAAGTGAAACAAAGTTTACTGCACTAAATAAAATATAGTATCAAATGACAAACGAAAAACACGGGAACAACTCAAGCAAAAGATATTGAAGAAATAAAATTTGTTAGTACATAAGTATTATCTGAAGACTTGATATTTGACATTCTAAGCCAATGTCCAAAGTTAAACAACATTTTATTCCTGTCCCTGTCTTCCCCATTCATATCTGTCTGCCTCAAAAATAGAAGCATTTAAAATATGGAGTTAGAGATTCATGATCAGTTGTAGAAACCTGTTTAGCTACTGATTTACAACCTTGCCAGTGGTATTTAACTCTGTCATCAGAACTAATTATAACTGGCCTTAGATTACCATATTCAAACTCTCCTCTTGGTGAAAGAAATAGAATGTTCTACTGAAAAATCAGAAACATCCTGAGGGCTGCCCAAGAAAAATGCACTGCAAACTTTAGTTCTCAGAATCAATGCTGTAAAGCTTGAAATTACTATTCTTTGGTAAGTTGTTTTAGCCTGAAGTACTTAAACAATAAATCAGTTACATTAATGCCATACCTGTGGCCTGAAACATATTAATCTCTGTTAACAATAACTGACATTTACATTACTAATTTAACTCCAGCATTCTTGGGGCAGTAAATGTATATGTAGAAGCTTCAGGTGGTAGAGTTATGACTCTAGAATATACCCTTCTCGCTGAGAACAGTATGGAGAACGTTAATAGCTACACATGTGTGTAGCATGATCACTGTATCAATCATTTTGTTTTGAAAAATGACAGAGTAAAATTTCTAATTCATATGATACAAAATGGAGAGGCAGCATGCCATAGAGAACAGTGAGCTGGCCCCAGAGCCTGGGAGATCCAGGCCTCCACTTGGCCACACTGTGAGTAAAATACCCTGAACAGAAAAGGGGCTTGTCTGGCCTGGTAGGGAAACAGCCTCATCGCTTGCTCTCTACACAAATGAAATCAATGAGTGGCTAAAAACATCCCACGTGGGATAACGCATCTGCACAGGCAGCTCAAGGCACTTCCGACAGTGCACTGAGAGCAGGTGTGGTAGATTCTAGGTTCTCCACTGATTGCTTCGGCATCACCTCTCCCACCTCTTTCCACTCAGACACAATTGTTCAAAAGGACCCCCATATTGTCCATGAGCTGGACTGCCACGGCGGCAGCATTCAAGCAGCATCCAGGAGCTCTGAACTCCCTGGCCCTTCCCCAGACCTGAGATGATTTCTATATCCTATTCCCTTAGAGCCCTTTAACAAGTGCCTTAAAACACAAAACTCCTTAAGGCTTCAAGAAGTCTAACATGGGGAAATTTTAGGCAGTCGGAAGATCTTTGAGTAGTTTGACTTTCTAACACTTCTCAAAATCTTGCCATGTCAGTTACTAGGGTTGAACTTGTGAATCAGGAAGGATTTTTAGCCTTGAGCACTACCCCTGGAGTTAGACAATGCCTGAAGGAAATCGGCCTAAGGTAAGTAGAAAAAAAGAATAGGTAAAAGGAAAACATATTCCCTAGCCTTTCCATTTGCACAGGTTTAACAGTTTTCAAAGTGCGTTTTCACTGGTGTGTTACTATAATCCAGTGAGAGAGCAGATGGCAATATCCCAATTTTACAAATGAGAAAAAACTAGAGCCTAGAAAGATGAAATGATTTGCTCAAAGTGACACTGTTAGTGGTGGAACCTATACTAAAAACAAGTCTTCTGACTAGTCCTCTGATGACTAGTATATTCCTCTTTCCATCATATCACAGTTACAACAAGCACAGCAATCTTTCACTTTTTTCCCAGAAAATTATGTTTTTAAACAATGTATCTGATAAATCAGAGAATTAATACCTGCTGCTATAGAAAATTTTCTCTGAACAAAATTGTAGATATTTCCCCACAGAATAGGTCTATACAATGGTTAGTATTACAATATGCCACTTTATCACCTCTATTAGACATTTAGAATGACTTTGAATATAACAGGGATTCTATAAATGGCATATAACTGCACCCTCAAAGATATGTCATGTATAAAAAGAAAAACAGAAACTGAAAAACAACAAGATGTCCAGTTCAGATTCTTAAGATGAATTATAAAGCTGGGTAAAAGAGCTCTTGAAGTTCTATTTCCTCAAGGAATCATCATTCCTTAAATGGACAACAATGATTTTTATGACCTCAAAGAGCAATAACCGTTCCCTTTCCCCCAAACCCAAAAAGCAACATTAATGCTCATAATGTAAAACTTACTTAATGCTTTGGATAGTACAGTTATATTTCACTGTACAACTAACTGTTCAGGAAAAGTTACATAAGAACCAAATCACGCTGAATAGAAACTACAGAGCACTCTAAAGAGCACTGTACTGACAATTAATAAGACCTTGGTTCTAATCCTGATTCTACTAATGACTGACTATGATTTTGGCCAAGTTATGTTATGTCTCTGAGTCAGTATCTGTAGCCACAAAAATCCTCAGGTCTACTAGTCCATGATTCCAAAAATCTTTTGAGATATAATGTGTTAAAATATACATTCTAAAAATTCAGATTTGTATTTGCTGGACTTTCTTAAAGGCACACCTGCATACCATCTCCTTGAATATTTTATGTATGGCATTCAATTCATATTTATATTCACATAAAGAATCTGAGTTTGATTTTTCATAGTATGAACTGTGTATAACCCCTAAAATGGTTTCGATTAGATAACTGGAAGTCATTCAAAGGAATTAGGATTATTTGGCCTCAGAAGACAACATTAGCTGATGACAATGGTGATAAGCTCTTCTCCACCTCTGAGAACTGAGACTAACACAGTGATGTGATCTTTTCTTCTGGAGAACTTGGTGCAAAGAATAAACATCCATCTGTGGGATGGCTTATGTCCTCTGTACAAGATCTTTTGAAGTTCATTTTAGAATTCTGCAATGCTAGCATATTTTCACATACTCTACTAGCATATTTTCACATACTCTACAATGACAGGTAAGATTATCTTTCAAGGTATCTACTCTCCAAAATAATTAAGAGTAAGACAGAGAGAGAGAGAGAGAGAGAGAGAGAGAGAGAGAGAAGAGAGAGAGAGAGAGAGAGAGAGAGAGTGTGTGTATGTGTGTGTAAACAAAGGGAAAGAAGAATGAAATAATACAAACCATATTTTTAAAGAATTTAAAACATTATTTTCCAAATAATATCAAAATGATTATCTATTTATCAATATCCAAACTTCATGACTAATAGGCTATCTAAGAAGAACATTAAAATTCAAATAACCACAGGGATAAAAGAGACAATGAGATGGGAGTAGTCTATGTCTATTCTCAGGAAGAATTTAAAGCAAAGCAAACTGTATGACATTTTCCATCCTCAAAGCTACTTAAAATTACTCATTGACTTTTACCAGACAGCCATGGGAAAAACAAAACCAAACCCAATTTTCTAGAAAAAAATATTTAGACAAAACATCATTTGTATTAGAATTGAATGTTTCTTGGCTGGTGCGGTTATATGCTCTTAGGCATACTTATGACCTACTTACTAACAAATAAATACAATTATTTTTAAAAAAATCTATGAGGATAATTTATGACCATAAATATTTAAGTTACATGGATCTCAATTGCTAAATATTCATCAAACTGTGGAAAAGCAAATAATTTTTGCTCCATATAAATATATTACTCCAATAAAGTCCAACTGATACCTTATCAGTGCAAGTAATCCTGAGTCCTGCAAGGCTATTACCGTAAGTTTGGCAAGGCTTGCTCACAGAATATACCTGTTCTGACCACCAGCCTAACCATGCTTGGAAAGGACCATTACCAGATGGAAGCCACCAGAAGACAAAATTACTTTGGCCATGGCAATCAAAAAAATATTATCTGCTATGGCACAAAGAAGGGTTTCAATGTGAACCAATAGCAGGTATATCCATATCAATGATTTCATTAATACTTTCAGCACTGATGTATATATACATTATTTCTCTCATATTTTTAACTATATTCTCATATTTATTATGAAAAACTAATTTTTTTAAACAAAATAATACACATTTTTTAAAAGGCTGAAAAATAGGGAGAATTGACCCACTAATCTGATGTTTACTTTCTCTAACTGGTATCAGATTTAGCTAGCTCCCTTTGAGCAGTAAGATACCACTTTTCAAGGACGAAGGCCTAGTTACATATATCCCATGTTGCTTTTGGTTTCCCATCTCTTCTTTGCTTCAAACCTAAAACAAAAGTACAAATCACCTATTCATTATTAAAGCAATTAAATAATTAAAATATTTTTTAACAGGTAATGAAGTGACATTAGATTTGCTTTAATTTTTCAAATACTTCACCAGTTACAAAATAATATCAAAATAAGATGAAGAAAAATCTCTATATTTACAAAGCGATAAAGATTAGGCAACGATATTTTAAAAATAAATCAAGATTGCACAAGTACAGTAAAACACACTGGCAATATTTGTGTGATTCATATGGCTATAACACTAATTATAACCTAAATTTTGAAGTGACTTACCCCCATGCAAGTTTCTTCTTTTTTTGAGCCTCTTGGGAATTTTCAGCATCTTTTTTAGCTTTTACAAAGTTGCGGCAAGCAACAGCTTTGGCAATTTTTACACCAAGCTAAAAGAAGGCAAAGAGAAAAAAACCTCACTAATATTATAGCTAATACAAGAGCTACTTTGAACCTAATTAGAATTCAATTATCCAAAATCTGAGAGTAGAAGAAGAGATCAATTTCTACATTTTAGAGATGCTAGTGGCTTTGAAAACCTTTACGTAGGTGTAGCAACATTTAGGTCTCAAATCACTCTTTTTCCTGTGATAATCATATGGAGTATAATGGGAAGACTAAAATATTTACTTCCCAATAAAGATCTTTGCTCTATATCAGGCTAATCTTTATACCACATACATACATACAACAGTTGTTTCCCCTTCTTTTTACCTTGCTCATGTTTTCTGCCCTTTGTTGCTAACCTAAGTCCTCTCCATTAAATGTTTTCTCATTTCAGCCTATAAAGATCTCTCTTCTTCCTCTGAACTAGGTACATACAACATACTTCCGCCTAATTATATATATTTTATATTGGTTTCTTGTCGCTTCACGTGTATATCTCCCAAATCAAACTACAACCTCCTCAGGTGCAAGCACTTTGTGTGTTCTACTACATATACCTTACAAAGTCTTGCACTGTGCTAGCTGTTAAAAATGCTTGAGTGATAGTATAATATGTGTGCGTGCGTGCGCTAGTATAGTGTGTATATATATATATATACGTGTGTGTGACCTGAGTGATAATATATGCCACTCCTATCAAAAAGAAAAAGATTTTTAGCATCTCCATATATATAAATTATAATATGTATTACCATATTAATAATTATGTATATTGTAGAAGACACAAAAGAGATGAGATAAAATGAAATATTTGATACTAGAGTCAAAAAAATAGCCCCTGGATCTTACTGGGGGAGAGATTACATAATCTGACTCACATTTTAGGAAAGTCACGTTGGCAGCTGTGGGGAAGATGGATTAGAATCAGGAATGACTTCAGAAAAAAAACAGTTAAAAGACTATTTCACAATTCAAACAAGAGGTAATAAAGGCCTAAGCTAGGGTAGTGGCTATGTAAGAGGAGAGAAGAGGATATATAAGAGAAGAGTTGGAGATAGAAATGACAAGCTCTTGCAAGCGAATGGATACACAGAGTAAGAATGAGGCTAAGGCAAAGATTAAGAATCTGGATGACTAGGAGGATGGTGGTAGACTCAAGAGAAGTAGAGCAGATTTTGGGGAAAAGGTAACATAATATCGTCAGCAACCCATCTTAATTTCTGCTTATCCTATGTGACTCAATTTGTCCTACCTGAATGAAAAAGTGGGGCAGGGAATTTACTCTCTGTAGGGTCCCAGAGCATAGAGCCCATCCCTTGGGGCTAATGATCTAGAAGAAAGGGTGTGAGTATAGTGGGAAGAGGTAGATAGGAAGGTGAGTAGGGTGAGAGTTTTACTTGAGCAGCAGCTAATGAAGGTGTCTAGACTGAAGTTAGGTTATAATCAATCTGAGGGACTACTAAAGCAGGGAAAAAATTAGGAACATGTAGAACTACTCAGGAGTACAGTAGGAGTGCTGGTCCACAAGGGAAGAAGGGTCTGCTACACTGCTAGAAACAAGCCCCAGCATTGACTATAGCAGGAAGGGTGGGATGCAATCTATTTTTCCACCCTTGAATGATTACTCCTCTTTCCCCCCTACTCTCTGCTCTACACCCCCACACTCTCCACACTTTGGAGGCTACTGGTATAGGCTACTCATGTGGTTTTCTTCTTTGGAATACAAATTACACACGTGGACCAAAATCGTTTCAATGTGCTGCTCTTTGGTGTTATCTTTAAACTGATATTCATAAAAGGAAATCAAGTGTTAATGGTAGTCCACATAAAAAGACAGGAATTTTCAGCATAAAGTTGTCTAAATAATTGCAGGTCAATGGAAACAATATTACAACCAAAATAAGAATAGCAAAATTTGGTCAACACTAGCTGGCAAAGCCACTGAAAAAGAAATAATGATTCTGATTTAAGAGACAGGCTAATATTTATTCCAAATGCTAAATCAATACTACAGGACCTAATATAGGTGCTACCTCTTAGCCAAAACAAAGTCAAACTCCACAGTAATGTCCATAAGAAATCTTGGATAATTTTCACAAGAAAAATTACGAGTGATTATCTCCAGAAACCCTTTATACTTTTTGCTCTATTTTCCTTTTCCTGTTCTTGGCAGTTCCTAACACTTAAGTCAGCATGAACATAGTGACAATTTTAAATAACTAAAAGGTCTTTGGTACATCGGTTAACTAATAGAAAGAAAACTTCAGAAGAATTTTGTGGTCTAGTTTACAGTTAAGCTAATTTACCACCACTCAAAAATTATATTCTTCCCTAATGAAAAGCTCTCATAACTATGGAAAAAGAAGTCTGAATTTATGCCTACTAAACTAGCTACTGTGAACTGATTGGAGCTTGCCATTTGAGTTTTCAAAATTCACAATACCTACTTTTATGTATAAGGTTCACAAAAAATCATGAAGATTTTTTAAAAATTTTGATTTCATTCCACTGAACTCTAATGGAACTTCAGTATATTCTACTGTTTTGCCAAGATCCCTGTGGGCACTGAATAATTGATAGTGATGCTGCCCTATGAAAAAGCGCTCAGAAAATTTTTATCATGCAACCAAATTTGACTTATAATTTGTATACTTAAAAAAGATAAATGATTTGAACCATTAATAGCATTTGCCCTCAACAACATAATGAAATTCTTTTCTAAGATTACTGTAAATTAAGACGTACCTCAATACCAACATTTTAAATGATGGAAATTTCTCAATCTACGTTACCTGGACCATGAACAGACAAATCGGAGTACATATGACTGTGTCAGGACATGCAGTTATTTGATTTAAATGTAACTTAATCTTGACATGGCCTTATATCTAACAATTTAAAAGCTCTAAGTTTCCCAGCTACATTAAACCCAATCCAGGATGATACTTCACCCAAAGATTTAGAGTACATGCTTTTTAAGACAGTATAAACTTGCTTAAAAATAATACATTATAATGCATTAAACAAGTATTGGCATGAGAAGGCTCCATCATTTTATGAACTGTGTAAATAAAAGAAATCGACTGGGTACACAGACAATGCATTCGAACAGTTCCGTTCTTTTAAAAGGTCAACTTCTACCTACATTTTACATGAGTTAGTTTAAACACAATATTCTGTACCTGACAAACACTAAAAAAGCATGCTGTCTTTGTTTTCACAAAATTTAATGACAGACTCATTTGGATGGTAAATGTAATGAAAAATGAGAGTATCCTTTGTATACTTAAAACTTAATATTCTTCATTTATTTCTCTGCACACTGAAAAGAATGAATGTTTTAGAATAATTAAGATATAAGAATCTCTGTGGAACAGACAGTCTAGGGATAAAGTATTATATGAGGCAAGATGACCAAGTTCTAATTTTCAGAACATGAGGATAGATGCAATAAGACAATATTACAAATAAATATTTTGTGCAGGCTCAGGGTTCCTTTATACC